GAGATCCATGGTTTCTGGTGAGGAAAAAGGTCATCATTTTGCTTTTATCTAATATGCCCTTCCTCTTACTGCTGTCAAGATGCATTCTTTAGGAACGGTGGTTAATAGCCTGACTATAATACTCCTTGACTTAGGTTTCATGATGACTGTTCTGTGCAGGGCTGCTCACGAGCTTGACGGCACACAAGATCAAAGCAACGTCTCATCAAAGTTGGTAATTTTTCAGTCATTAGTTCTTCAAATACTTTTCTGTCATATGATTTCTCTTTCCCTTCAAAGGAATATCCTTGTCACACATATATTTGACTCATATCTTTATTTAACAATTTACGCACCTCTATTCGTTTTTTTCATCTGCAAGGTCACTTAGACATTCTGTGTTGAAGCCTATCCAGTAATATTTCATTTCAAAAAACTTATTGCTTATTCTGTTCCTTTTTAGTTTCTGTTCCTTTTCAGAGACTATTCATTAATTTGCTTAGTTTCCTTGCATCAAGAACAGGTTTTATGTTTCATCTTTCAGAATAGTTATAATACCCAAATAAGAGTCCTACTGCTTCCAATATCCAGTTCATCCCATGGCCATCGCTAAGTGTCTTTTTTATTTTAAGACTATGCTTCATTTATTTTATTCCTTATCTATCAAGTGATTTTCAATACTATTCTAATGTTGTCAGATTTATGTTGTGAGAGATCTGGATTCTTTTCTTTTTCTCCAGTGAGTATTATTTCCTTTGTTTTGCCAGTGCTGAGTCTGTTCCTCACAGGTGTCGTCAGAAGACCCAAGTCTGAGAAGATAGTTCAGCACTCACTCTGAGGCTTGCTCTCCTACAGGATTACCTCATGTGCTCAAGTGGCATTGATTTTGTGGCAATGCTTTTTGATTTCCAGGGCAGGAAGTAGATCTGCTACCACATGGTTTGGGCTTTGTCAAGGCTAGAAGGTGAGACATGTACTTCAGTGGGTCCCCAGTTTTTTCCCTAGAGACGCACGAGCTCCCACCAGCCATCTGACCATTTCCACTTATTCACAAGAACTTTAAGTAGTTGCTTTTATGTTCAAATTCAATCTCTGTATAAAAGAACAAGCAGAGTTCAGTCCTTGTCTGGAGATTTCAAAGTCTCTTGAAGAAAACAGACATGAGTATAAATAGTTCTAATATTAAAATATAAATTTCCAATGGAAAACAATAAAAACCAAGGTTTTCTTTTTCCATACTCTTATTTCATTTGTTTCAATATTTATTATTTTTATGGTACCAAATTTAATTTTCATTTTTATTGTCCTTGGATATTTTAGCATTGAAAATTAGTTATGATAAAATTGCCATACATGAAAAGTGATATTTAAAATATTTTACTTTTTATTACAGTACAATAGTCTCCATCAGAGACAGAGACAGAGAAAGAAATGTAGAAGACTCACCAAATAGACATCACTCTCAAACTCCAAGAATAACTCTAATTAAAGAATTGTTATCTCTCAAGCACAGCCATTAGAACTCCACTCACATATCTTGGGTTTTTTTTTTTTACTTAATAAATGTAGTTCCTAAAATACATGCTGGTTAATTGAGTGAATTTAGTCCATACATGTGTTGCTGTAATAGGATTTCGGTGTGATAAATATAATTAACAAGGGAACATCAGTAAGGCAGATAGAACCTTATAATTTCTACCTACGTGTTATTATTCCCCATAAATACCACCTCATAGTTCTTTATCTCAAGTTCCCATGAAGCTGAGTGATTAGAATTAAGACCTCCACTTCTCCTTCATTGTCTGCCAAACAAGGTCTCATGAGCCTCACTGAAGAAAGAGAGATTTTAGAATAGCTTCTTTGGGAAAAATGTCAGGCTAAGCAGACTTTTATAACAAAAAATTCAAAGACACTGCCACACTATACACAAAAGATAGTTTAAAAATCAGAAAAGAAAAAGATAATATTTCTCTCATGTTAACTTTATTAAATAAAATGAAAGTTAGATTTAACTACTATGAGTATCTAGTAGGATGGCCTATTTGATAAATGAGTACTATTCTCAAAAGAGTCTCAAGTCAGAAAAACTAGTGTGCTGAGTAACATCTGAATTAATGTCCGATGTTTATAGTGTTTACGAAATTTGCTAAATAAAATTCAGGGAGAAAATCAGCTAAAGTGTGGTGGTGGTGGTGGTGGTGGTGGTGGTGGGATGTGTGTGTGTGTGTGTGTGTGTGTGTGGTGGGGATTGAACCCACACATCCCAAGCAAGTGTTCTACACTGAGCCATACTCCTAGACCTAGAACACATGTCTCATTGAAGACACTTTGAAATGCATGGTCCTCTCTCATCTTAGTTTTCAAATGCCTTGTATGCCTGGTGCTGCTCCTAGACTGCCCCACACTCAAAGGATGCCGACGTTATCAAACTGTGAATGTGATTTAGCCAACCTAGGGAAATCCATAGCTAGACATCATGGAGTAAACATTACCTTTTCACGAGCATACACATACACAAACGTGCGTACAATCAATAAATTGAAAAACTGAGAGACTCCAAAGATGCCAGGTAGAGGTGCTCAACATTTCATCTTTTCTTCACAAAGAACCACAGAAATATGTGGATAGCTATCATTTGTGATGAATGACGATGGGAGAACATGAAACTCAGCAAGGGAGATACTGAAAGTTTCTAAGACTCAAAGACCTGAGATGGCAGCATAGAAAGAACAGAGCATCCAGGCAGGTACAAGCCTGGCCTCAGCCAGATGGGAACTGCTGTTCAGGGTAAAGATTGAACAGGAGAGCTCTAGAAACTTCACTGGGACATTAGTAATCCTATCTATGAGGACAGCCTTGCAGTCCAGTTTTGGGAGAAAACTGAATCCTGCACACTAGTCTTACTTTAGAGGAGGATCTTAGAGGACCTCCCTGCCACACCTCAGAGCCCAGCTGCTGTGCTTGAGTACTGCCTGAGAAAGGGAGTTATTGTCTGAGTTCATATTTCACTAAGGGTCAGAAACCTCTGTACATCCCCAGGCCTGGGATTCTACACACATCCACTCCATTAGCACAGGGGCTACAGCCATAGGAACTCAAACAGACCCAACAGAACAACTGTGAGCCCAGAACTCAAGCCCAGGTAGTAGTGTTCTGTGTTACAAGACACCAGCATTTCAGCACTAATGGACATGGAGGGCACTACCACCCAAAACTGAGAGGCAAGTGTACGTCTCCAGGGCTGGGATGTGGCCAGCTGTTATGTGTTCATGCCACTCCTGAGATTTAGAGTGGGCATTCACATGGTTTCCACTGGTGTTTCATCCCACCCCATAGACAAGGGCAGGTGGGCTGTACTACTATTGAGGCTGAGAGTGGGTGCTGCATAAGGGACACCACTATGCCTGCACTCTTTCCACAGTGAGGGACCGCACTATTGCTGGTATTGGTAGTGGCCTGTACCCACAGGCTCAAGGAACCACCAGGGCTGAGAGTGGACACTGCAAACAGGTGCAACAACTTCCCATGGCCACCACCCTCACATCGTGTGTAGCCATCAAGACAGAAAATGAACACTGAAGAAGCACAGAGCTTGTCCTCTGTCTCAGCCCCACACAGCCATCCTGTATGAGATCATAATAATTAGATATGTTCATCTTTTGGGAGGGCATGATGCTGCTTAATGTCCAGCCTGTCACCTAGAGTGTTGTTCAGAGCGAATGACTCTATTGTCTGATGACAGAGAAATGCAAGATAACCATGCTGTCACAATCCAAAATAAATCCTACTCTTCTCTGGAAAATGATAATGATCGTGTAAATGTTTGCTTCACCGAGGAAATGTGGGTGAATCTCGCAGAAGAGACACCAAGTGAGAATTTCATGTTGAATTGGGGTAAAGGGCCATCACTGGTCAGGGAGTTGCTAGCTGCAGCTGAGTGGTGTTGAGGAAGATGCTTCCTGGGCTGGGGGGCTGGGATAGGGACATCAGGAGTCTCAAAGTAAGACTATGGAAGTGGGAGAGTTAAAAACAGTTTATCAAAGAGGGCCAAGTTCATATTTAGATTGATAGAAAGAGCCTATTTATATCTCATTCTATTTGACTTGAAGAAAGTGAAAACTTGTCTCTGAACTGTGAAACTCCATTAGTGTACCACTAGGGACTAATGCCACCATGAAGAGCACTTTGGGGCAGATATGGCTTGTTAAAATGTTCTTTCATTTTTTTCCATTTAAAGTTTTTATTATTCTATGGAAATTTTATCCTGCATATTTGAAGTACAGCATAATATTTTGGATATAACATAGCAAAATAGCATGGTGAAGCCAATTAACATACCCATTAATCGCAGTTAATTTTCTGAGGGGCAGGAATTGCTAAAATGTATTTGTGTAGCTTCAGGAGGCCTGCAAATTGACCTAGGAAGAATGAGGAACAAGAGAAGAGACAAATTTCCAAGCAAGGGAGTTCAGAGGCCTTCTTTCTCAAGGGTACAAGAGAACTGGGAGTCCAAAAGAATCCATTTTTATTAGTAAAATACATCATATCTTATCAAGTTCTCAGTACTGTCAGTACTGAGAACACCAGTATGTACTAGAAGAGACTACAGGGAAATCAACAGTCCTGGGGCACTTATGAGGTGTGTTTTATTCATGACCTCGTTTAACATTTATAGTCACTTTAACAAGTGTTTTTAAAGTATCAGCATTTTGAAATTGAAAACAAATGGGATTAAGAAAAGCCAACAAACTTTCCTATCTTAACACATAAAAGGCAGATCTAGTATTCAGAAGATTTAAGTAGAAAAATACTTTCTTCATCTAACACCACTTTACCTTCCTTGTAATTGGCCAAGATTTCAGATGTTGAGTGACACTTATATGAATAGAATTAAAGTCAATGTATGGTGTGCTTCTTGATAAATTGAGTAAGAAACATGTAGCTTCTTTATATCAATTCATTTGGGTACACTACCTGAAAACATTTCTTGGTAGTTTAAGAATATTTCTATACCAACTTACCCACAGGTGAGGTGTCCTTCATGAGTTGGAGGTGATGAATGTAGATGAAAGGTGAGCAGGTTAAAGTTATCAAACAGCACATTTGGCTACCATGAACAGTGTATCAGGCACTTCCTTCCACTGGTTTCAATTCCCATCACCTGCAGTTTAAGGGAAGAGAAGTTTGTTTTAGCTCATGTTTCAGTCCACAGGCAGATAGATGGCTGCCAGGCAGGATGGCACGGCAAAGGGCATGGGACGGAAAATCCTGTTCATCTCATGATGCCCAGGAGGTGCACAGTGAGGGATAGAGCCATGACAGGAGATACACTACTCCAGGTCTACTCCCAAGGACACACCTCCAACCAGGCCCCACCTTCCAACATCAAGCCGGCTGTAGCGCTCCCCAAATCCAATCCCTTCTACAAGACCCTGCCTCTGTCTTGTAGACCCTGCCACCCTCAGCCATCCATAACACAAGGATGAATTACAGCATCTGAAGTCTTGGGGGGACATCCAGATATAAATCATAGCGTGCAATTACCATAAATCAGGATTTAGTTCCTGAAAGTTAATCTAGAATTTTGATAAGAAACTAATAAAATATTCAGAGGAAAATAATGGTTCAATTTATTTAGGACAGCTGTTTCTTGAGCGAGGTAATTTATGATACACAGAGTAAGAATGGAAGGACTGATTATGAGTCTTTATTTTAATGTTCTGGTGTAATCTCTTGTGTCATTTGGCCATATTAGTTTGACCCTGAAGCACTGACAGCCACAGAGTGCATGCACAAATGAGTTTCTGAACTTTGTTTCTTTCCTCATTTATTTCCAAGTCAGATGTGCCTGCATTGATTACAAAAGATGAAAGATACCACCAATAGAGGAGAATTCACATAAGTGTTTAATAATGATAGTAAAGAGCAGTGTCAATACCAGAGCTGGAAGAGCTTCACTGATCGCAGATTGAATGTGGATGTCAAGGATGACTACAAGTAAGATATGTCTCATGCTTAAATTTTTAAATTAGAATTGCAACGAAGAGTAAAAAGTGGGCTGAAGCTAAGGCTGTAGAAGGTCATGATTTAGGCAACACATCTTCTTAGTAGTGGAGTTGAGTATTTACATTTATACCTAAGGATGATGGGAACTCTATACAAGACAATTTGTTGCCCACCATTTTTCTTATCTCACAACTCTTGGTAGGAACAATCCTAGGTTATTTTGAAAGAACGATCCCCACCTTCAACTCAGAACCTCAGATTTGTAGTGTTAGGAATGGATTTTATTTGTCTTAAATCAAATATGGTAGTTCCTGAATTAAAAGCTTTCACAAACAGACCTCGCATTGCTAATATTTATTCATGTGAATAAATTGCAGAACTGGCTCACGTATCTGCTGAACTTGTCACAATTGTGCTACTGGGTGTTGACTGAACAGTGTTACAGTGTTATAGTGAATGGTGTGTAGTGCAGTGCTCAGTCAGAGGCTGGGATGTCCAGAATCAAGTGAAAAGCAGTGGTGATACAGAAGGGATCTAGGAAGCACAAAGCAGTACATGTTGTATATTTGTGTCAAAACAGTATAAGACTCACTTCGTTAGACTTGTGAACCAATCTGACTTGAAAACATTCCCCTGGGATGGAACTTGTTCTTGTCAGGACTCAACTGTAAGAATAATCATTTCCATGACTACACAGCTTGGCTATGAATTAGTACTTTTTAAAAGTCCAATCGGAACAACAACAACAAAAAAAAAAAACCCAAAGAATTATATTTGAAATAAAGGGAATGAGATTCTTCTGTTACTGGGAAAACCAGTTTAAAACTGCCACAGCCACAAAAGAGTCTAGAATTCCTAGGAAGGGGCACACCTAGGAATCCAGGAGTGGAGCCAAGAGAACAAAACGGTGGGATTCTAGAAGATTGTTTAAATTCTATTCAAGTATCTTTAAGAAATCAAGTGTCAGATATGAACAAACAAACAACTTTTTAAATTGCTTTCTGAAAGGTTTCATATTTATCATTCTTACCTGAAATATTATTAAATAATATGAACCTCAAAGTCATCCATAACACAAGGATGAATTATGGGGAGCATGAGAAAAAAATCTCTTTAAAATCCATTTCATTGGGGTGAAACACTATTTTGCTTAAATGGTTATGCGTTGACCTGCACTGTTTTGTTGTTATGCCCTCTTTTATCTCAGTTTCCTTTTTTTAATTATTTAATTATTTAATTTTTTCTTAATTAAGGGAAAAATTTAAAAAGCAGGATATATTATTATAGTAACCTACTTTGATTTCCTATTAACTTGATCTGAAACCCTGTATAGCCCTCACCATCTTGCTTTGACTGATTTTCCTCTATTCTGCTTTGCTTAATAGTACCAAGTTCGAAAGTATGAGCAACAACTGTAAAGACAATAAGATTCATTATGACACCCATTCCGGTTGACTATTATCTTCTTTTAAAGCCCTGTAATGTCTCCAATGTTTTGGTTTTATTCTTTACTGTTTTGTTCAATTTTATTATAACTGATGATATAGGCAATTCTTTTTAAGATAGCAAGAGGCAGTATGGTAACCATTGTTGATCACCTAGTATTTTGTTTTTACATTATCTATTATGTCCATGCTTTTGATTTGACTGACTCTGTTCTGTTATGTCACATTTTGTTTTACTCTTTTCAAAAAAAAGTAATAAGAACTGTGGGAGTAATAAAACCCAAAATGTATAATTGTCATTGTACAAAAGAAAGGAAAAGAAAGTTCTCTAAAAGATATAACCGCATATATATGTAAGTGTATAAGATAGATAACCATATTACTGACTTTTGTTGGATCATTGAACAAAACTGTTTCCAGTCTCACTGTTTGAAAGTCCACTTTATATGCTTTAATTTTGTAACTTGAACAACTATTTCTAAGATAACAATATGTAATCTATTAACTAGTGATTTCCTATTGTTTATTTTTTCTGAAATTCTGTATAACTTGTACCCTATTTCTGCTTTTTTTTCTTTTTCTCCTTAATAAAAAAATAAAATAAAATAAAATCCATTTCAGTGGGAAAGGATTCCTATGCTGCTGTTGGGAGAAAAAAGAACAATACACCTGTTGTGCTTTGTGTGTCCCCTCCCAGGGCCTATGAAGAGAAAGAGGTGAGATAAAGCAGATTTACTAAGGGCTCACCAAGCTCTGCTATGAAGTTCTTGATAGCCAGGAGAGAGACTGAGGCAACGGAGAGAAAGATGTATGGACATCTAAAGATCATTGCCATGGAGACGACCAGCCCCCAAGAAGGTCAGCAAGCATATCATCAGCCCTGAGATCACACCAAAGCAACCAGGTCTTGGCAGACGGAAGACAGCTTGGAGAGTGAGACACACTTAGGAGTTCTTGGAGGGAAGTTACCACAGCTACAGCCAAAGTGGCTGGGGCAAGTGTTCCTTGGGTTGCACATGAATGCATCCCAAAGAGACTGGAGGTACTTTGCAAATGAAAACCTAAGATATGCGAGCATTTATATCTGTTGGCAGGCTGGGCACGGGTATTTCCCAGTGAAGAACCTGAGACAGTGCAGTGCTGGGTGCCATCATTCGGGTTCTCCCAACAGTTCACGGTAAATGGTTTTCAGACTTTGGGGTATCTGGTTGGTAGGAAACAAAGTACAACCTCAGTTGTCAGTAAATGCCACAAATGCTCTTTGAAGACTTCATCAAGCAGGGGGTATTCCTCCACATTTACTGGTGTTGCCTGCAGTGGTGGCACCGAACTGCCAGTCAAGAACTTGAGTTTTATGCTTGGACCTGTCTTGATTTGCCCCATCATCTGACTCCCTGGGTTTTCTTTGACATTAGTTAGTTACAGATACTTGGAAAATTTTCTAAGCCTCCTTAGTTTATTCTTCTTCAAATTGTAACTAACAGCAACTAGATCAGACCACAGGGATTTTGTGAAGACTAAATGTAGTAGTATATGCAGACCCCTCAGGACACTATCTATAATACAGGAAAAGCAAGTCCACTAGTGAATTCATACACATCTGTCCAAATTTCTGGTTGGGGTAGGCAAATCATATGCGACCATTGCTTATTACTAGACTTCTTAGTGGTGAAAGATTCAAATCCATAAACCTAATAATCTTCTGCCTGTTCACTGACTTGCACCCCCTGGTTCAACCAAGTGTCACTGCGAAGTTAACTTTAGTAAGATTTAGTATAACAGTCAGAATTTACAGTGCTGGACTAAAGAGAAAGGAAAGTTTGGTTGGTGCATCTGTGGAAAAACCCATTTCATCATATGTGATCCAGATCCAAGCATACCCCACAGATCCAGAGTAGTAGCTCTGGATTTAGCTTTCTCCTCTGAGTGGAGGTACTAAGATGGACTGGAGCAATTCTAGGGTTATAATCATTTTGATAATAAAGATCCAGAGAATTAGTGCAACATAAATTATGGATCTTCTTGTTTGAGAGACTTTAGATTTCAATAATACTGTAGCTTCTCCTCTTTATGAACAGAATATCACTCATCAGATCTTTCTGATGATGAGAAAAATACTTAGATATTAAACAAAATTAAACAAGTATCAATTTTTGTGTACCATAGACATTAGCGAGTGTGCTTTTTTCATAGGACTTACAGAACGGAATGTTTTGTCATCTCAAGGTTTTAAAAAATATTAAGACTTGCAGGGAACAGCTAGTTTCAAGAAAATCAATCATAATTAAACAAGAACAAGCTGTTCTTTCTAATGCTGTCCTCAAGGGGGAAACTGATAGTCCCTTTTGTCACAAGACTTACAGACAACACCTCAAGCTTTAATATAGGAAGTGACTGCACAGATGTTCTGGGCATGCATAAAGACCCAGGATGCACAGCGCACGTTTGCACTGACTTTGATGAGTATATTTCTCTAAGGACGAAGAGTTGCAAATTCAGACCCTTAGGATGGAGAGATTTTGTGTTGCTGGGAAGAGACTAAAGATCTTCTAGTTGCTTTTTGAACTTGTTAACAAAAAATGTATTGGAAAAAATAAAAAAACAAAAAATGTATTGTGCTGGATTAATATTTCCTCCTTTAGTGGCAAACAGCACAAAGTAACTTGTCTTTTGAAATCAGATAACCCTTCTTACTGGAGTCGCTTCTTCA